GGAGCTCGGGGGGGGTCCCTCCGAGTCAGGACCCTCGGGGAAAGGGGGGGGGGTGCGGGGTGGGGGTCGGGGGGGGGGCACGCACCGCTGCAGCTCCTCCTCCTCGATGCGTTGCCCGTCCCACACGAAGACCCCGGCCAGGGCGGCCATGAGGCGGGCGGCGGCGAGGGCGGGGCGGCCCCGGGCCAGCCCCCGCCCCCCCCCGGGCCCTCCTCCTCCTCCTCCTCCTCCTCCTGCTGCTGCTGCCCGCCGCCCCCCCCCTCCTCCTCCTCCTGCCCTCTCCTCAGCCCCGCCGCCCCCCCGCTGCCGGCCCCTCCGCGGCCTCCTCGCCCGCTGCCCGCCGCCGGAGCCGCAGTGCAGCAGGCCCAGCAAGCCCAGCAGGCCGCGCCGCCCCGCCTGGCCCCCGGCGGGAGGAGGAGGAGGGCGGGGAGGAGGCGGCGGCAGGCCCGAGGCCGGCGGGCGGAGGCCCAGGCGCGAGGCCCGGGCGAGGAGGCCGAGGAGCGGCCGCCGCGGCTGCAACATGCCGCCGCTCTGCCCCCGCCGCCGTCGCGCGGCGTCTGACGTCAGCACGCCGCGCCGCCCGCTCCTCATTGGGCGCCGCCGCCACCGCCCCGCGCGGCGATTGGGTGGGGAGCGGGGGGTGGGCGGAGTCTGCGGGGAGTGGGCGGGGACAGGGTGGAAGGGGGCGGGGCTTGGGGCGGGGGGCGGGGCTTGGGGGGGCACGGGGCTGGATGGGGCTGGGGGCTGCGGCTGTGGGGTCGGGGGCAGCCGCCCCTAATGATGGGGTGTGGGGACACAGCCCTGCATGGGTTGGGGTGCAGGGACACAGGACTTTATGTATTGGGGTGTGGGGGGCACAGCCCTTCACTGGGGTGCCTGGATTTATTGGGGTGGGGGGCACCAGCCTGGATTTATTGGGGTCCAGGGGGCACAGACCTTGATTTATTGGGTTTCGGGGGGCACAGGGCTTTATTTATGGGGGTTTGGGGCACCGGCCTTTATTTATTGGGGTGCAGGAGGATGGGCCAGTATTTATTGGGGTGCTGGGTACACACCTTTATTTTTTGGGGTGGGGGACACCAGCCTTTATTTCCTGGGGTTTAGGGGCAGAGGATTTTATTTATTGGGGTGCACGGCACCAACCTTTATTTGTTGGGGTGCAGGGGGCACCTGGACTTTGTTTATTGGGGTGTGGGGGTACAGGCCCCTATTTATTGGGGTGCTGAGGGCACAGCCCTTTATGGGGGTGCAGGGCACACGCCTTTTATTTATTGGGGTGGGCAGGACTTTACTGGGATATGGGGGCACAGGACTTTATTTATTGGGGTGTGGGGACTCAGACCCTTATTTATTGGGGTGGGAGCACTGCCCTGTGCTTATTGGGGTGCAGAGGGCACAGGCCTTTACTTATTGGGGTGGGGGCACCAGCCTGTATTTATTGGGGTGCGTGGCAGCGGGTGCAGTCCAGGGGCATTTCTTGGGGTTCTGGCACAGGCACTTAGAGGGGTGCAGGGCAACGAGGGCATTTCTTGGGGTGCACAGGGCAGGGCAGCGCAGGCCTTTATAGGGGCGCAAGGATCGGGGGGGGGACTTAGGAGGGGCTGCCAAGTGGGGTGCGTGGCAGGGACTTTTTTGGGGTGGAGGACAGCAGCGGACAGCGGGGATATTTATCGGGGCGCAGAGCAGCACAAGGGGGGAGCAGCGTGGAGCCCCCCCACAGCTTTAGGATAAAACCCGGCCCCAACCCCCCCGCCCCTGGTTTTGGGAACAAAGCGCAGGCAGGCACCGGGCACTATGTACACGGGTTTATTCCTCTGGAAAAGGGCAGGGCGCGGGACGGGGCCGAGGTGCGGGGTGTGGGGGACACGGGGACGGTGACAGAGGGGTGGCACACGGCCCCCCCACCCCCCCCCGATACCTCGGGGACCTCCCCGCGTCCCGCCCCGACCTCCTGGAGCTACGTTTGTTAGTAGGGTGGGGGCGTCGCGTCCTTTTCCTTTTTTGGGGTTTTTACAGAAATACAGTGTTTATGCACAAGACTATTTACAGACGAGCCCTCCCTTGCATAGAGGCGCCGGGGTTGGGGCGGGGGGGGAACCCAAATCATTTTCCAGACACCCCAGCACCCCCAGACTTGGTTATTTTCGGCCGAGGGGGCAGCAGCGGGGTGGTGGGACGGGGAGAACGGCACTGGGGCTGTGCGGGACCCTTCAGATGATGCTGCTGGTGGCCGGAGCAAAGCCCCGAAGGTTTTGGGGCTGTGACGGAGCCACCCCGGTCACATCCCGAGCCCCAGCGGGTGGCCAAATCCTGCCCAGGTGAGGGGAGGGAGGAAGAGGAGCAAGCGGGACGAAGCAGCTGGGGGCAGGGAATGGGGTGAGGAGTATTTGGAAGAAGGGAGCAGCATCGCGCAGCGTGCCTGCCCTAAAACTCCTCCTGGAGCCCCCCCGAACCTCTGCCAGCCACCCCGCTGCTCCCGGGCTGCCATACCCACCCCGCACAGCTTTTTTGCCCCAATTTGCCCCAAACGGCCCCAAAACAAGGCTGCTCTCCTTGCTGGCTGCCGTCTGGGTTCGGCTGCGGGACTCTCGGCACCGTGCGGCTCCCGGCAGCATCGCTCGGGGCTGGCGGAGGAGCGGGACGGTGAATGAATTCATTAAAAGCGGGGCAGAAAAACCATGAAAAGGGAGCGAGAAGCAGACCAGTCCCATTTCCGTGGAGGTTTAGGAACTTGCATAAAAGCCACAGCCGCAGGCGCCCACCTCGGAGCTGCTTCTCGGGGCCGGCACCGTACAAAAACCTCAGGATTTTCCTTGGGTTTGCAGCCCGGGGGGGTGCGGGTGGCTCCTGGGGCAGCTCCTCCGGTGCCGTGCCCCCCCTGCCAAGCTCACCGCGGGCACGGCGATGTCCTGGAAGCACCCCCGGCGGGCAGCGAGCCTCAGGAGTAAAGTGCAAAACGCGCCCCACGGGCACGAGCCGCAGGAGGGGAGCGGTGCCGGGGGGGTGGTGCTGTGCCTGCCCCCCTGCTGGGGCTGCTGCGGGCCCCCCCTCTCCCACGGCGCCTCTCTGCACGCACCAACACGGGAAGGAGGGCTCGGGGGGCGGCTTCGGGGCTCGCCCCCGTCTCTAAATCCAACTCTAAAAGCAGTCCTTCGCGCGGGACAGCCAGCACGGCGCCCCCACGGCGAAGCAGTCCCGGCAGCCCCCGGGTGAGGGCAAGTTTTGGGGGGGCACGGAGCCGTGCCCGCGCCCCGGAGCCGCGGTGGCCTCAGGGGGTGTACGCCGGGGGTGGCTGGAACTGGTTGATCACCTCGTACTCGGCCGGGTAGGGCTCGTTCTCCTCCATCTCCGACAGCAGCTCCAGGGCCTGCTCCTCCTCCTCGGTGGGGTAGTGGCGCAGCAGGTTGGCGGCCGTGGCGAGGATGGAGGCGCCCCCGGCCCCCGCCACCAGGTAGAAGCTGACGGCGAAGGTGACGTAGACCTGGGAGCCGTGGTACTTCTTGTGCTGCTGCTGCTGCGCCAGGATCAGCTCCGAGGCCCAGTAGCAGAACCCGATGACGGTGGCGCACTGCAGGACTGGGGGTGGGGGGGGGAAGGACAGCGGTTGAAGCACCGGGACGGAGAAATAAATTCAGTGAATTTACCTGTGGCTAAGGCAGGAGCCCCCCCACGGCCGTGCTCTGCTCGCCAGGGGAGTGGAGCAGGCAGAGAGCGAGGTATTTGGGGTAAAAAAGAGCCTGCCCAGCCCGTGGATGTACCACAAGTCTGAAATTCATCACAGGAGGGAGGAAAAGAAGAGGCTCAGCGCCTCGCTGCGAGCCTGGGCGCTGCGCTAAGGGTGTTTGTCCCCGTCTCTGTGGGGGAGCCGGGCTGAGGAGGAAAAGCAGCAGAAAAATAAAGGAGCACCTTTGGCGTGGCTCTGAGGAAGCAAACCAGCTCACCCGGCTCATGAGAAGGGAGGAGGAGCAGCGAGGCCACGAAGCTGAAGGGATTTTGTGACCCAGAAGGAGCTGCACGGACACCTCGGTGCCCTGAGCCCGACGCCGTGGGCTCTGCAGCTCAGGGCTCCGACGTGCCGGCAGGGCTCAGGGGACGTAAACCTCCTGAGGGTGACTCAGAGCACCCGACCTTCCCCAGAAGGGCACGGATCTGCGCCGCGGGAGCCCTTTGAGAAGCACAACTCACCGCCCCGTGCCCATCTGGAGGCGCTTGGTGTCCATCCCTGACCTCTGACCCCAGGATTTGGCTCCGATTTGGAGGCCAGAGCTGCCCTTGAGGGCTCCGAGGCTGCTCTGGCTGCAGGCAGAGCTAAGGAAGAGCTCTGCACATCGGCTGGGCAGCGCAGCCCCGAGCTGAAAACCCCTTTCCTCGGATCAGGGAGGGGAATTTGGGGTTGTCCCCGTGCAGCCGCAGTGACAGCCCTGCCCCGCGCTACCTGTGAGGATGTGGGCGAAGGCGTAGCGGCGCGTGATCTTCAGCGCCGGGTGCTTGGGCCCGAAGACGTCCAGCAGGAAGGCCGAGAGGCTGCAGATGATGCCCAGGAAGCAGAAGGCGGCGATGACGCGGAGCAGCAGCACGGTCTGGGGGTTCATGCAGTAATCTGCGGGGACACGGGGCTGCTGGGCACGGCCACGGAGCCAGCAACAAGCTGCCCTCCTGACCTCACCCCTCCCCGGTGCCCCCACGGGCTCGGGGGTTTCACCCCGCAGAGCTCTCCTCGGAGAAGCGGTGCTGTGCGTGCGGGGCACCTCTGGGTGCCCTCCATAAACCCGACCTTTGCTACGCTGCAGGCAGGCAGGGCGTTTTATGGGGTAGTGGAAATGAAAGCTGCGGGAACGCCTCCCAACAGGGCTGCGCAGGTTCCTTATTTTGTATGAACTGGGAGTTCACTGGGGAGCCTCCTTGCTCTGACACTGCGTCCTGCTGGCGCCCAGCCCCGCTGCGGGGAGCTCCCACCCGCACCTCCCCATGACATTTCGGTGCCACCAGCCTCACCCCGCAGAACCCAACCCCATTTACCCCCTCGGGGCTGCCGGACCCCCCCCGGGCTGGGCTGAGCTCCCCAGGAGTCACCTTCCTGGGAGCTGTTTACCAGCAGCACCTGACCCGGCCTGGGGACAAACCCTTCAATTAGGGGAAATTAGCGTGCCGACGGGGCAGGATCCTCTTCCTGGCAGCTCACCGGGGCTCTGCGCCGCGCTGACCCCACAAACACGAAGGGTGTTTGCCCTAAAGGTGTGTGGGGGTGATCCCACGCGGGTAAACCGGGTGGGTTTGTGCCAGAAAAACACCCGTGGGGGGGGAGAGGGAGAAGGAAAGGGCAGGCACGAGTCCCTCGGAACCGTGCGCCCCAAAAACCCCCGCTGCAGGGCACGGCTCGGCCACCCCAAAACCCCTCCGTGCCGGGAGGGCAGGGAGCTGCTCCCCTCTTCCCCTTCTTATCTCCCCACCGAGCTGTTCTGGTGCTCCCCAGTCCCTGCGGGGAGGTTTCGAGCACTTCAGGTTCCAGCACCGAAGGAGAAGCAGCGAGGGGGGGATCCCGGGGGGGAAGTTGGAACCTTGGCTAAAAGCCACAGTGGGCACGAGCGGTCTGTCTGTCTGTCTGTCCGTCTGTCTGTCTGTCTCTCCGTCTGTCTCTCCGTCTGTCTGTCCGCCCCGGGTGGCACCTGGGGCCTCCCAGGAGCACAGGGAGCTTCAAACCGGGCTGCCCCACGGGAGAACCCGAGCTGGAGGGGACCCCCCCCGGAGCCCTGCTGCTGCCTCCACTCAGCACCACCGAAAATTAACCCGTCCCAGTGCCTGACTGCTCTTTCTGAGCAGAAATGTCTCCTTGTTTCCCACCTGAACCTCCCCTGGCACAACTCGAGGCCGTTCCCTCTGCTCCTGTCAGTTCCCTGTGAGCAGAGCCCCCCCCCCAGCTCCCCCCCCCTTCCTTTCAGTTGCAGAGAGCAATGAGGTCTCCCCTGAGCCTCCTCTTCTCCAGCCCGACCCCCCCCAGCTTCCCCAGCCCCTTCCCCAGCCCCGTAGCCCTGCTCTGGGCACATCCCAGGCCCCCGATGCCCTTCTTGCCGTGAGGGGCCCAAAGCTGACCCCAGCCCTCGAGGCGCAGCCTGCCCCCACCCCACAAGCGTCCCTGGGGTTGCTGTGTCCGAGCCGTGCTGAGCCTCAGCCTGGGAGAAGCCCCCACGCCCCCGGGAGCCCCCCCCAGCTCCTGACCACCTCTGGGGGCAGGTCCCCACCCCGACACCCACCCCGAGCTCCCCGTCCCAGCTCCGTGCTGTCCCCTCAGGTCCTGGCGCTGTCCCCAGGCAGCAGGGAGCAGCGTTGCCCCTCTGCTTCCCTTGGGAGCAAACCAAACCCCCAGGATCTGCCCCTAAACCCCCTCCCCTTGCTTCCTACACCCCCAGGGCCTGACCCCACACCCCCAGGGACCAGTCCCTAACCCCCTTCCCCCAAACCCTACCCCCATTCCCAGGCCCCTAAAGCCCCGAGACTGGACCCTACACCCCTAGGACCAGCTCCCAACCCCCTTCCCTGGCCCCTAAAACCCTGGGATCTGCCCCTACGTCCCTTTCCCTGGCCCCTAACTCCCCGGGGTCGAGCCCTACACCCCCGTTCCCCAGTTGTTACAGCCCCAGGGCCTGACCCTAAGACCAGCTCCTACCCACCCCTGTTCCCCAGTCCCTACACCCCAGGATCTGCCCCTACACCCCGTTGCCCAGTCCCTACATCCCTAGGGCCACTCCCTGACCCCCTTTCCAGGCCCCCAAACCCCCAGGACCTGCCGCTAACCCCCAGGACTGAACTCTACACCCCTTCTCCTGGCCCCAAACCCCCTTCCCAGGCCCTGAAGGCCCCAGATCGGGCCCTAACCCCCCGGGATCAGGCCCTAAGCCCCCAGGACCTGCCCCTACCCCTGCTCCCCAGCCCCTAACCCCCAGGACTGAACCTACACCCCTAGGACCGGCTCCTAGCCCCCTTCCAGGCCCTGAAGCCCCTGCATCAGCCCTTAAACTCCTCGGGATCAGGCCCTAAACCCCGGTGACCTACCTTAACCCCTGGGACCGAACCCTACACCCCTTCTCACAGCCCCAAACCCCTTTCTCAGGCCCTGAAGCCCCCGGATCGGGCCCTAAACCCCCGGGATCGGCCCCGAACCCCCCCGGAATCAGACCCTAAACCCCTGGAACCTGCCCCTACCCTGCTCCCCAGCCCTAACCCCCAGGACTGAACCCTACACCCCTAGAACCGGCTCCTAGCCCCCTTCCCAGGCCCTGAAGCCCCCGGATCAGCCCCTAAACGCCCCGGGATCAGGCCCTAAACCCCGGTGACCTACCCTTAACCCCCGGGACCGGCCCCCACACCCCTAGGACCGGCCCCAAACCCCTTTCCCAGGCCCCGAAGCCCCCGGATCGGCCCCGAACCCCCCGGGATCGGACCCTAAACCCCCCGCGCCCTACCCCTGCCCCTCCCCTCCCCTCCCCTCCCCTCCCCTCCCCTCCCCTCCCCTCCCCTCCCGGTCCCTCCCCGTGCCCCCGGTCTCACCGCGCAGCAGCTCGGGCTCCACGTAGCCCAGCACATCGGCGACGCCGAGCTCCTGCCGGCCGCAGGTGCCGCCGTGGATGCGGAGCCAGGCGGGCTCGGCCAGCGCCGTGCACAGCGCCGTGATGGACAGCGCCCCGGGCAGCGCCGACGCCAGGCTCCGCTCCGGCTGCTTCGGCAGCCCCCCCCCTCCGCCACCGGCCCCTCCGCCGCCCGCCGCCCCCCTCCGCCGCCGCCCGCCGGGCAGCCCCGGCCCGCCGGGGGTGTACATGGCGCCCGGCCCCGGCCCCGGCTCCCGGCTCCGGTTCCGCTTCCGCTTCCGGTCGCGCTCCGGTTCCGCTTCCGGCCACGCCCCGCGGCGCGGCTACTTCCGCTTCCGGCGGCGGGCGGCATGAAGGAGGCGCTGCAGCCGCTGTGCCGGGTGGCCGCGCACCCCGAGGCCCGCTGCTGGTTCCTGGCCTGGAGCCCCGGCGGCGGCCTCCTGGCGTCCTGCGGCGGGGACCGAACCGTGCGGCTCTGGGCCAGGGAAGGTGCGGGGCGGGGCCGGGACCGGGGGGGGCGGGGCTACGGGAAGGGGGCGGGGTCATGGGTAGGGGCGGGGCCAGGAGTGAGGGGCGGGGCTATGGGAAGGGGCGGGGCCAGGGGTGAGGCAAGGGGAGGGGGCGGGGCCACAGAGGGGGGCGGGGCTGTGGGAGGAGGGGAAGGGGCGGGGCCACAGGGCTGGGGGCGGGGCGATGGGACCTGAGGGGGCGGGGCCACGGCACCTGTGGGCGGGGCCAAAGGCCCGGTGTGGGCGGGGTCATGGGGAGGGGGCGGGGCTTAAAGGTAGGGGCGGGGCTAAAGGCAGGGAGAGGGCGGGGCCTGAGGGCAGCGGGGGTGGAGCCTGTGGGGTGGGCGTGGCCTCGGGCCCCGCCCACTCCCCTCACCCCTTGCTCCCCCCAGGGCCGGGCTGGGCGTGCCGGGCGGTGCTGGGCGAGGGGCACCAGCGCACGGTGCGGCGCGTGGCCTGGTCGCCCTGCGGCTCCTACCTGGCCTCCGCCAGCTTCGACGCCACCACCTGCATCTGGAAGAAGGGCGACGACGGCTTCGAGGTGCGGCCCCCGCCTGTCCCCGTGTCCCCCCCACCCTCACCCCGGCACGCCCTGACCCCTCCCTCCTGTCCCCTCCGCAGTGCGTGACCACGCTGGAGGGGCATGAGAACGAGGTGAAATCGGTGGCCTGGGCTCCCTCGGGCAACCTGCTGGCCACCTGCAGCCGCGACAAGAGCGTGTGGGTGTGGGAAGGTGAGTGGGACAACACCGGGGGGGCCCTGTGCTGCCGGCCCCCCCCTAACCAGGAGCACTGTGCCCGCAGTGGATGAGGAAGAGGAGTACGAGTGCGTCAGCGTCCTCAACTCGCACACGCAGGACGTCAAGCACGTGGTCTGGCACCCCAACCAGGAGGTGAGGGCAGCACCAACGAGGGGCCGGGGGCTTTCTGCGGGTGCACGGCCCCTCAGCGCCCCCTGCTCCCCCCCCCTCTGCCCCCCCCACCCCAGCTCTTGGCCTCGGCCAGCTACGACGACACGGTGAAGCTGTACCGCGAGGAGGAGGACGACTGGGTGTGCTGCGCCACGCTGGAGGGCCACGAGTCCACCGTGTGGAGCTTGGCCTTCGACCGCAGCGGCGAGCGCCTGGCGTCCTGCAGCGATGACAAGACGGTGCGCATCTGGCAGCAGTACAAGCCGGGCAACGAGGAAGGTGAGCGCTCCTCGGCCCCGTGAGAAGCAGCAGGGAACGCGTCCGAGCCCCCGGGGCGTTGCTCGGTTCGCCCCCGGTGCTGAGTTTTTCCTCCCGCCGCCCAGGGGTGGCGTGCAGCGGCACCGACCCCACCTGGAAGTGCGTCTGCAACCTGTCGGGCTACCACAGCAGGACCATCTACGACGTGGCGTGGTGCGTGGCGGCGTGGCCCCGCTCCCCTCGGTTCCCTTTGGTTTTGGGGGGAGCGGGGCTGACCCCCTGCGCTGCCCCCCTGCAGGTGCCACCTCACCGGGGCGCTGGCCACGGCCTGTGGCGACGACGCCATCCGGGTCTTCGAGGAGAGCTCCTCGTCCACGCCGCAGCAGCCCACCTTCAGCCTCACCGCCCACGTGCCCCGCGCGCACTCGCAGGACGTCAACTGCGTGGCCTGGAACCCCAAGGAGCCGGGGCTGCTGGCCTCCTGCAGCGACGACGGCGAGATCGCCTTCTGGAAGTACCAGCGGCCCGAAGTGTGCTGAGAGCCCTCCCCAGAGGTTTCAGGCTGCGGTGCCGGCCACAAAACCCCTTGTTGAGGAGAGCAGGACGGGGCCGGGGTGGGCAACCTCCTGCATCCCACCTCCCTGCAGCACTTGGACTTCAGCTCTTTGGCAGCCTGCGGCTGGGGGGTTTGGCGGGGCCAGAAAGGAGCCTGCCAGCCGTGGGGGTCCTGCCGCGCTCCCCAGGGACACGCACAGTGGGGCAGCCCCCTGCCAGGCTCAGGGAGACACCCCCAGGGCGTTGCTTCTCCCTCCTGCTCTGTGCTCAATAAATCCTCGCCCTGCTCGAAGCCTCCGGCTCTTCCTTTTTGGGGCTGTCACCGCCCCGCCTGGCCCCGGGGGGAGCGGGGCAGGGTGTGAGCAGCAGGGCAGGGTGTAAGAGCTGCCCTGGGGCTGGGGGAGGCTGGAGAGGGAGGGGTTGTACACCCCATAACGCACAGCTCCTGGGAGGTGGGGGGGGGTTGTGCCTGCCTGCTGCTCCCCGAAACTGCTACGGGGCAGCTCCTGGGGCCGGAGCTGACCTCTTTTCCTCCTGCCAAACCCCACAGCGCCAGTTCTTCCTCCTGGCAGCTTGCTCTGCCTTAATTAGCTCTGCTAATGAACTTCTTGGTGTGGGCAGTGATGTGCAGCAAAGCCAAGGGCACAGAACTAAGTGTGAGTTGGGGACACACTGATGCCCTTCAGCCTTGCTGTTGAACCCTTTAAGGGAAAAAGGGGGGTGGAAAACAGCCCCAACCGCTCCTATTTCCCCCCTGCTTCCCCCACACGCCCCGCAGCGCAGAGGAAGAGGAAAGGTTCCACATTTATTCCAGCTGCTGCAGCCGCACTGTGCTGCATGCAGCTCTGCTCTAAAAAATACTGTACAAAGCATCATCATAAAAAAAAACACAACACAAAACACATGGCTCCACGCCTACGGAGGGGACACAACACCACCACGGCTCGGGTTTGGTCGCTGTCCTACCCGCAGATCCTCCCCGAGGAGCGGCGCAGCCCCGCGCTAGTCGGAGTCGCTGTCGCTCTCCGCTTCTTTCACGTCCACGCTGAACTTGTACTCCTGGTCGCAGCCCATGTAGGCGTCGCTCATGAAGTACAGCGTGTAGTTGTGCGTCCCCGTGGCCGGGGCCACGAAATCCAGCTTCACCTAGGCAGCGAGGAAGGAAGAGCTCGTGTTGGGGCTGCGGGGGGCAAACGGTGGCCGTGGGGGTGGCCGGGGTGACGCAGCGCCCAGCCCTGCTCACCTTGGCTTTCTGCTGCAGCGTCAGGCGCTTGATGGAGATGAGGCTGTTGGACTTGGAGTCGCCGATCACCACCCACCAGCCCTCCTCGCGTTTCTGCGGGGGAAGAGAAGGGTTAAGGGGTGCCAGGGGGGGACGATCCCCAGCCTGGTTTACACCGCCTGCAGGTCTGGCACGCACCTGGGGGAAGAGGGGAGCGATGACGGGGCCGGTGACCTCCTCCTCACGCTCCAGCTGCACCAGCACCACCACGGGCCCCCCGCTGCGTGGAGAGAAGCGAGGAACACGGTGAGGGCGTCCCCTGGGCTGACGCAGCACCGAGCGGCCGCGCCACCCACCCTCCCCGCCTCACCTTCGGATGCTTTCCTTCTCCACCACCTCGTAGGACAGCTCGATGTTGGGGTAGCGGTTGCAGAAGCGGGCGACGTCGGCGATCTGGGCGTCGGAGAGCTGCAGCAGCGCGTTGCGGTCCTCGTCCTCCATCTCCATGATGTCGAAGACGCTCTCGACCCCCTGTGACAAAGCAGCTTTCAGCCCCACAATCCTCACACTCCCATCAGACCGTTCCCTCTTCCCAGCACGGCGCCTTCCCCAGAGATGGGTAGAGGTTTTTACCTTATCCGTGCAGCGCTTGATGTGCTCCGAGGTGAAGTGAGGCAGCTGCTTGAGGTAGGAGTCCTTGGACCACATGGCCTGGGTCACCATTTGCGCCAGCTCCATGGCGGCCAGCGCGGGGCTGAGCCAGCCGTTGCTGGACAGCACGTCCACGCACGCCTGGATCAGCCGGATCGCCTGGGGGAGAGGATGAGGATGGGTGAGAAGGCAGCACCGAGCCACACGCAGCGCGGGCGGGATCCCAGCTGCCTCCCTGTACCTTGCTGAGGATCTCCTCTGTGTCCGACTGCAGCTCGGCGCTCAGCTGCATGCGCGACAAGTGAGCCTGCAGCAGGAGGTTGGTCTTGACGTGGGGGTCGTTGAATTTGGGGTTGGTCAGCTTGTGGGGAACCTTCTGGGCCAGCTACGGAGGGAAACGATAAACCTTTAGCCCTACACAGCAGAAAACGCGGGCAGCCCTCCTCGCTGTGACCCCGTGGGGCACATCTGTCCCCTGCAGAGCTGACACCGCCGGCAGCTCGGCGCGGAGGCGCTGCCGCTCACCTGCCGCAGCAGGTTGTCCTCGTGGTGCCTGATGGGGATGTTCTCGTACTCAGCAGCGTTGGAGATGATTTCAATCAGCCCTCGCACCTTGGTTTTGGCATTGAGGGACATGCTGAAGAGCTCTGGGGAAGACAGAAAAAAAAACAAGGTCAGGGAAAAGCAGGCGGCGTTCAGCACCACGATACAAGAGAAGCCTTCAGGCAGACAACACCCAGCCTCGTGCTACAGGAAGGAGTTTTATGCAACCACCCACGTGTGCAGAGCTTTCTCTACGATTACCCACGGAGCAGGGAGAGGACAGAGAGCTGGAGCACCAGCAAGTGCTCGTGTACGCCGCCCACCCCAGCAGAGCCCTTACCGATGGTGGTGTAGTTGATGTAGTAATAGGCTGCGATCATCCCCAGGTTCAGCGGGGCCACGTCCATCTCGTCCTCGATGCTGATGCACTTGGACTGCTCCAGATCACTGAGGGTCTGCTCCACCAGCTCGGAGAGGTGATCAGACAGGTGCCTGTGGGACACGCCTGCAGGTACAGCAGCATCGCAGTGAGGCTCAGGAATTCCCCGGGATGGACAAAAGCTGCTCTTGTGGAAGCAGAGCCCCCGAGCAGAGGGTCCCCGGAATCCTCCCTCATCTCCCCCACCCCAAAT